GAAGTTAGGTGGGACAATCAAACTGAGGACTGGGATGAAGAAGGGCAGAGTCGAGGGAGAGATGCAAGCCAGCTGCCCAAGAAGCAAGATGCCAGAGGACTGGTAAAGCCACTGCTATTTGGCAATAATTAATAGAAATGGGTTAATTCAAATGTAAAAGCTAGTTAGTAATAAGCCTGAGCAATCAACCAAACATTCATAATTAATATAAACCTCTGTATGATAATTTGGGAAGCGGCTGCTAGGTATTTGGGAACAGGCAGGAGGGAGAGAAACATCTGATTACTTATGGCATTCCCATGTGTGGCTGAAATTTCCACATGAAACCTGACAAAGCTTAAAAGAGGATTCTAAACACACAAAAATGGAGTCAAACTCGGCTTCTTGGTAACTGCCGTTTCTCCAGTGGGCTCTGTCTACTGGCAGCAAGCAGAGGTGTGGCCCCTTTAAGAGACGGCTTCCTGGCTGGGTGCTAGCTGCTAGCGGCAAAAATGGGCGGCTCTTTTCAGAGGCCCTGCTGCCAATACTTACATGGTGTCTGTGAGCAGCAGTGGCATGGTACTCAGTGCCGCATGGACCTAGAAACTTCACAGTGTTGGAGCGATGAACATGGCTCCCAGAGCTGGCGATAAACATGCCTTCACTATGAGACTAGCCTCTCAGGGGACTGACGGAGGGGGAGCCAGCACCAGCAGTCCACGATCTAAGTTACACAGCAGATTTTTGCTCATGCAGAATGGGAAGGTGCAGTGAGGACAGATTCAGATGGAAAAAAACCTCTAAAGAGCTTACAGTGTGTTAAAAAAATAGGCTTGGGAGAGAGAAGAGAAAGAGTATATACAGTCTTAGGTTAAAAATAATAAAATAAAGACCTTAAAAGGGGGAGTAAAGTAATATAAAGGAAATAAGCCACATAAAGATGGAAAATGCACAGAGAGAGTGGACACTGTATGTTATTGTGTTGTCTTTAATTTTTTTGACTATTAATGAACAAGTGATAACTGCTGAGAGACATTTGATTATGAAAGCTGCTAGATTAAACCAACATATATTTTAAAAATATCTTGACTTCAAAATTTAAGTCAAAAGATATGTTACTTTGGGAAAGAGTTTCTGTTTTATTTCCACAGGAAATAATAGGCTCTGGATTCATTCTGGGTTAAGAAAAGTCAGGTTTGCCTGAGGAAGACCCCCTGAAAAGTCTCCAATGGGAATGGATGGACCAGATGATCCAATGTCTCAGACTGCCTCTGTTGCAGTTTCCTCTGAGTTCTGCATCCAGAGCAGCTTCAAGGCTGCTGACTGAGATGATCCAGCCTCACAAACTACTCCAGTCAGGACTTGACCATAATCCTAAACTTTCTCAGGGTCCCCCAAAGTTTACTAATGCCCCTAATCAACAGGAAGTAGTCTAGAGAATTACAGCCACATTCCCCAAAAATGGGTTATGAATATTCATTATTATTTAAAGGGGGGTTGGTTACAAGTTGTTATGGATAATGGTCAGGAAAAAAGCTAAACAAAGGAGATTAGATTCAAGGATCTCTTTCTGAAAAGAAAAAGGGGGGATATAGAAGTGATAGGATAAAAGTGTAACTTATTGAATCTACTTTAATCCAAAAAATAACTATTAATCTTACATATTTTGCATTGGTGTGGCTTTTAGTTTATTGGTACAAATTTAAAATTATTTCTGTTATACTGTATGTATATTTCTACTCTTATTTAAGGTATTGTGTTTATGTATTTCATTTAAAAATGTAATGTATAATTAAGAAATACAGGCTAATAGTCCTCTATAAGAGTCAAACTTATAGTCATATTAGGTATGTTTTCAAGGTCATAAACAGATATGTTTAGATATATAGATGGTCTTCAAACACTTCAAATACCTACAGAATATGGCATTTAATATGTTTAAATAACCTAAGGCTTTTCATGACAATGAGACAAGTCTGCTCCTGGCAGCACCAATCTGCTTCAGAGAAGATGATGAGCATCAAAGAAAACACACTCCATATGGAGTTTTGGCAAAACTTTGCCTCAACAGCTACAGTACGCTGTCCAAACTGAACAAGCAGGATACAAAGAAAGGCGACTGCCAAACTTTGCCAAGACATGGTAGGCCAGTCCTTCAGAATTCGCTGCTTCCCAGGAAAGTCTGTCAGATATTCTAGTTAGATGCCCCGACATTGCAGAGGAGCCTCAGGTGACTGTCCAGATAGCCTGATGTCCCTGTTATTAGGTAACATTTCATCCTTCTGGGGTCTTTGATGGAGTTAAAGACTAAATAGTTAAACTGAGAGTTTTCCTTAGTTATGATAAAAAACAAATTAAGTATAAGACTTTGAACTCACAAGGTAAGATAGAAAATGGAGTATTTTCTCTGATTTTACCAAATGCAAATAGACTGGATATTATGACTGTGGCTCTTACCTGAAACTGTTTTTGTTACATATAATTTTACTAAGTTCAAGTTAAAACCTTTTTAATTAGACAAAATGGGGAAATGCTGTGGAAAAATTCTTTCCTACACTATGAATATGTATTACTCTCATTTGCTAATAAAATGCTGATTGGATAGTAGCCAGGCAGGAAGTTAGGTGGGACAATCAAACTGAGAACTGGGATGAAGAAAGGCAGAGTCAAGGGAGAGACGCAAGTCAGCCGCCTAAGAAGCAAGATGCCAGAGGACTGGTAAAACCATGGCCACTTGGCAATACATAAAATAATAGAAGTGGGTTACTCTAAATATAAGAGCTAGTTAGTAACAAGCCTGAGAAATTGGCCAAACGTTTATAATTAATAAAAGCCTCTGTGTGGTAATTTGGGAAGCGGCTGCCAGGTATTTAGGAATAGGTGGTAGGGGAGAGAAGGCTCCCTGTTTACACATCTCTGTCCAATCTACATATCCAGCCCTCTGGAAAGAGTGTCAATGCTTTTAACACAGAATCATTTTTGGGTCCCCAAGCTTTTACTATGACTCAAAGGTGTGAGTATACTGCTCTTCCTACAATATGGATTTCTTTTCTTTCTTTCTTTCTCTTTCTTTCTTTCTTTCTTTCTTTCTTTCTTTCTTTCTTTCTTTCTTTCTTTCTTTCTTTCTCCTCTCCTCTCCTCTCCTCTCCTCTCCTCTCCTCTCCTCTCCTCTCCTCTCCTCTCCTCTCCTCTCTCTCTCTCTCTCTCTCTCTCTCTCTCTCTCTCTCTCTCTCTCTCTCTCTTTTCCCCTGACCCAGGGTTTTACTGTGTAGTCTTGGCTATCCTGAAACTCACTGTGTAGACCAGGCTGGCCTTGAATTCAAAGAGATCCATCTGCCTCTGTCTCCTGAGTGCTGGGATTAAAGGTGTGCGCCACCACTGACAGGCCAATCTGGATTTCAATACAGATTACAAACAGTGACTGGGTGGTGGCGGTGGTGGCGGCGGCAGCGGCAGCGGCAGCAGCAGCGGCAGCAGCAGCAGCAGCAGCAGCACACGCCTTTAATCCCAGCACTCAGGAGGCAGAGGCAGGTAGATCTTTGTGAGTTCAGGCCAGTCTGTTCTATAGAGTGAGTTCTAGGGCTGCCAGAATTACATAGAGACCCTGTCTCAAAACAACAACAACAGCACAAAAAACAAACTAACACTTTTATCTCTTTTTATAAAATTAAAAAATTCTTGTAAGCTTTGGGGAATCAAGTTGAATTCTCCTCTTGCAGGTCAAGTGGATTCCAGATAAGTACTCTTAAGTTTTTCCACCTGCCGACTCCTGAAGGTAGGATCTCTCCCCCTTTTCTTGGTCTTGGGAATCCCCTTGAGAGGTCTAAATTTCCCCCATTTTACAACTGGATCTAGGTTTCAGTTTTTTTAAAGAGCAAACAAGTTTCAGTTTCTTAAACAAAGGGCTATTCATCCAACAACACCTCTAACAGCAGGAATGAGAGAGAGAGAGAGAGAGAGAGAGAGAGAGAGAGAGAGAGAGAGAGAGAGAGAGGACAAGGCTTGAACCACAATATTACAAGACAGTGACCAAAAAAAGATAGTTCCTGTAATACCCTGAAACAAGCCTGGAGTTGCCCAAATAAATCCAAAGACAAAAAACCAGAACCTTAGCCCTATCAAAAATGTGCTAACATGGGGCTGGAGAGATGGCTCAGTGGTTAAGAGCATTGGCTGCTATTCCAGAGGACCCAGGTTCAATTCCCAGCACCCATATGGCAGCTCACAGCTGTCTGTAACTGCAGTTCCAGGAGATCTGACACCTTCACACCAACGCACATAAAATAAAATTAAATAAATTATTAAAAAATGTGCTAACATAACTGCTGCCTGCTTAACCAATCATGTTTGAGATGACCTAACTGTTCCTGAAATTCCCCTAGCTGTGCTTAAAAGGATCTATGCACCTTTGTCCCGGGTTGCCATTTGTACAAGTGGCCAATCCCGCATGCTGCATGTTTCTGCAGAGTAGACGATCTTTGTTCTTGCATACTATTTGAGACTGGGGTCTTTCTTCAGCATTTTCTTGGGCCCTTACACCCTCCTGCAACTACCAGGTCCACAGACCTAGGCATTTCAAATGTACACTCTGGATAAAAACTTGCCTCTAAACTCCTTACCTATACCTTCTGTCCCTAATATATTGGTTCCAGCAGATTTCTAATCAGCTACTGCAAACTGCTCCAAACTCACCAGCCCCATGCACTTCTGATGGAATTTCCAACCAGCCTGAGTCATCCTAGATGACTTCCAAGTAGCTAGCCCCAGGTGGTGGTTTGAAAGAAAACGGCACCCAAAGGGAATGGTAGTATTAGGCGGTTGTGAAGGAAGTGTGCCACTGTGGGGTTGGCTTTGAAGTCTCCTATACTCAAATTATTCCCAATGTCACAGGCAACTTCCTGTTGCCTTCTGATCAAGATGTAGCCAGCACCACTACACTTCCCTTCATGATGACAATGGACTAAACCTCTGAACTGTAAGCGAGCCACCCCAATTAAACCTTTTCTTTATGAGTTGCCGTGGTGCTCGCTTTGGCAGCACGTATACTAAAATTGGAACGATACAGAGATTAGCATGGCCCCTGTGCAAGGATGACATGCAAATTCGTGAAGGTTCCATATTTAAAAAAAAAAAAAAAGAGTTGCCGTGGTCATGGTGTCTCTTCACAGCAATAGAAATCCTAACTAAGACACCTGAGGTGGTCCAGCCTCACAGACGGCTCCAATGTGGCCTGCACTTCTTTAGCCCCAGATGGTCCCACAGAGCCTGGACAGCAAGTGAAGCACCTGCTCTTCCAGGTCTTGGCCAATATTCCAGCAGGAAGTAGCCATAGAAAAGATTGCATTCCCCCTTGTCATTATCAACAAAGAGACTGGGGTGTCAGGACTCAAACCTGGACAAAAGGCTAACTGAGGTGCCTATTTAACACATCAAAGCAGACCTGGCTGCCAGGTTTTCCCAGAATCCCTCAGTCGCAACCTGTTATAGGACATGGCTGGCATACCCTGCCTCCTACCCTAAATTTCCCAGTTCAGGGGCTGGGCTGCCCTTCCCTCAACTGGTCTTCCCCATATAATCCAGACATTTTGGTTACCTGGCTGTTTGGTCTACCCTTTACCCTCTTGCCCAGTCTCTTGGCCCCTCTTGGAGAGGCCCTTCTCTTCCCTCTCTCCTCCTCCTTCCATCACATGGCCAGGCTCAGGGTCATGTTCACTCTGGACTCCCCCAGATGTTCCTGCCTCTGGTCTATGTTCTCCCCTTTATCTACAATAAACCTTCTCCTCCACCATACCTAGGAGCAGTCATGTCCTTCCTTTTTTATTTCTTTTCTCATTCAGGTTTCTTGCTCCGTGTGTGTGTGTGTGTTGTGTGTGTGTGTGTGTGTGTGTGTGTGTGTGTGTGTGTGTGTGAGAGAGAGAGAGAGAGAGAGAGAGAGAGAGAGAGAGAGAGAGAGAGAGAGAGAATGGGCTGTGTACCAGTTTTTAAACAGGGAACACGACTAGGCAGCGGTACCTCATTTTTCTCCAGGCTGTACTCCTCCATCATCTTGTCTCCCTGCTCCTGAAAGGTGATGATGATCAAGGCCACAAAGATGTTGACAAAAAAGAAGGGAAACACTACAAAGTACACCACGTAGAAGATGGACATCTCCATGCGGTACCCGGGGCTGGGGCCCTGGTTCTCAAAAGTGGCATCCACTGAATGCTTGAGGACCCTGTGAATGTGGGAAGGAGACAGGAGAGCAGCGGAGGGCATGGGAAGGTCAGGGACACAGGAGTAGAGGGAACAAGAGGAGATGAAAAAGAAACCCAGTCAATGCCTTCTGAGAAGCACTGGGTTGATCACATGCCAGATAATGCTGAACATTTCATATACTTTCCCAGCAGCCTTTGGGGAGGTCATTCCTGGCTCCATTTTGTACACAAGGCAACTGACATTCAGCAGTTTGGAGACTCTTCTAAAGACCACTTGGTTGGTATCTAAAGCCAGTTTTGTGGTGATGGATGAGGTAGGGTATCTTGGCCACAGGCATCAGTCCGAGCGGGACATTTAAACACAGGTGGTGGTGGGTATGAAGGAGGTTCAGCAGCAGTGTGGGAGTGCGGTCACAACAGCTCTGTAAGGGTGTACAGGATGTGCACTGTTCAACAGTTCTCTTGGTGGGGCTTGGTGCCTTGAATGTGCAAGGCCCTTGGTTCCATTCCCAGCACCACACACACACACACACACACACACACACACACACACACACACACACAAAGTTCTGTGTCTGGTGAATGCAGTGTTCGTGACTGTCTTTGCTCTGTAAACAATCTCTAATCAAAGAAAAAAAATGGTGTTAAGCATTGCCTATGTATAGCAGATGTGATAAATGTGTGTGTCACCATAATGAACATGGTACCTTGTCTGGACAAATCATTTCTGTGTGACTATGACCTTCTTTTTAAATTTGTTTAATTATGTGTATGTATGTGTGTGTATGTGTGCACATAGGAGGCAGATGAGTGCAGGTATCCACAGAGGCCAGAGGAGGATGCTGAATCCCCTGGAGCTGGAGTTACAGGTGGTGTGAGCCACCAGATTTGGGTGCTGGAAACTGCTCGGGTCCTCTGTAAGAGCTGCAAGCATTCCTGGCCACATTTAAATGGATTTATTGGTGTGTGCATGTGGAGGTCGGAGGATAACTTTCGGGAGTCAGTTCCTTCTTCCACACGTGGGTCCCTTTGCCTGTTGAACTACCTTGCTGACCCGCCTTATTCTTGGGGACAGGGTCTGTCACTGAACCTGGAGCTTGCTGGTTAGCTAAGCCAGACAGCCACCGAGCCCCTGGGATTAGTGTTGGGTGGGGTTCCAGGTGTGTGTCTTCATGCCTGGCTGTTATGTGGGTGCTGGGGTTCAAACTCAGGCACTTTACCAACTGACCCATTCCCCCCAGCCCTGAGGCTCTTTCTTTCTTCTAAATTTTTATTTTACTTGTTAAAATTTTTTTATTTAAAACTGTGTAAAAAAGTGCAGTGCCCTCAGAGCTCAGAGGCACCAGATTGCTAGAGGTGCAGGTGGCTGTGAACCTGATGTGAGAGCTGAGTTCACTCAGCTCCTGTCTTCTGGATGAACAGCCTGTTCAGAGCCACCTCCCAGTCTTGTGTTGTCTGTCCTGAGTCTCACTGTGCACCCTTGGATGGTCTAGAGCTCCATCGTGGCACCAAGCTCACAGAGACCCCTCTGCTTCTGCCACTGGGATGCTGGGGTTAAAGTCGTGGCCACCATGCCCAGTAAGGCTGTTGTTTTTAAGTTCGTGTTCACATTTGTGCTGCTGGGGGAGTAACGTGGGCTTCCCAACAGCCAGGCCCGAGTTCAGCATCAGAGCCACGCCCACAGCCCCGTGGACAGCCCCCCGAACTGTGAGAGCAACCCTGGGCACAGGGCCAGGCTCCGACACCCTTCTCTCCCCCTCCTCCACTCTGCTCCTGGGGTCCCCAGCCCTTGCCCTTTGGTGCGGGCCACTCACTGCGGCCAGCCCTCGCCCGTGGACACGGTGAAGAGTGTGAGCAGGGCCCAGAGCACGTTGTCATAGTGGAACTCGTACTTCTTCCACTCGCGGTCCCGGGCCTTCACCTCATTCTTCTCGTACAGGAGGTACTTGCCTCTGTCACAGAGAGCTGGTTAGTCAGCAAGGCGCCACCACCTCCCAAGGCCATTTGCGCTGCCTGGAGGGGCACAGCGCTGTCCCTGTGGGAGCCGGAGACCCTGGCTTGAGTGTGGGTGTGGGGACACACACAGGATGGGGAGGCAAACACAGGACAGCCTATTTCGGGGTCCTCACACCTCAGGAGGCGATGGCCGCCCCTTTCAGAACAGGCAAGAGTGAGTTCCAAACACCACCCAAGAGTCTAGGATCCCTTTTGTATGGCAGGGTCTCACAACATAGCCTAGGCTGGCTGGGAATTCTGGCTCTTCCCGCCTCAATGTCCCAAGCAGTTAATGACAGGCCTGTGCCACTGTGCCTGGGAAGCAGCTGAACAGGGTTGCTCAGACATGACCCAAGGAGGGACTATGGATTTGTGTTAAGAGCCCCGCTTGACAAAGTCACTGGGAGATTAGAAGGGCTTAACCGGGTTTGTGGACCCAGATTCTCACTCTTTCTCATTTGCTTTTCTTTTATGAGATAGGGTCTCTCTGTAGCCCAGGCTGGTCTGGGCCTCTCCACCCTCACATCTCAGCCTCCCGAGGGCTGGGGCGACAGGTCTGTGCGTCACATCACAGAGGTCTTTTACTTCTTGTTATTACTTTTCATGCCAGGGAGTGGGCCTGTGCCTTGCCTTGCACACGCCAAGCATGCACACTGTAATACCCAGCTCACTCTGTAACCCAGGCTGGTCTCAAAACTCAGGGTGATCCTCCTGCCTTCGCCTTCTGAGTGCCGAGGTCCTGGGTGTGTACCACCACACCACACTTTAAAAAAGCCCTACTCCAGATCCAAGCTGACCCAGAGTCCTTCCTCTGCCTCGGTGTCTGCACCACTGACCCCGTACCTCGACCTCCCCTGCCATGGTGTCCCGGGGACCATGGCCCACCCACCGACAGTCTCTCTCGAATTCCTTGGACTCATCTGTGCAGTGGAAGAACTTGCCCTTGAAGAGCTGCACAGCTACCACAGCGAAGATGAACATGAACAGCATGTACACGATGAGGATGTTGAAGACATTCTTGAGTGAGTTCACCACACAGTCAAACACAGCCTGCGTCAGGAGATAGAGGCGTGAGACCAGAAGCATGGCTGTTCCCTCTACACCTGAGGCACCTGCAGGTTCTAACAGCTGGGTTGGAAATATTGGCGGAAGATAGATTCCACGTGTGCACGACTTTCCCTCACCCTTGTCCCCTAACAGCAGTATGGTGGCTGTGCACACAGCAGGTGTCCTGTTTCAGGCACCTCACAACCATTTTTGGACAGGATCTCATGTAGTTCAGGCAGGCCTTAAAAAGGATGGCCTTGATTTTCTAATCCTCCTGCCTCCACCAGTTTGAGTCACTGGATATGGAACCCAGTGCTTCTTGTACACAAGGCAAGCACTCTTGCCAACTGAGATACATCTCCCATGTCCAGCTTTTTTAGATAGTTCTGCTGCCCTAGAAGTAGTGCCTCCCCAACTACGGTCCGCCCTGTCTCTGCGCTGACCATGAAAGGGAGTCCTGACCTAGGGCAGATTCGGCCAGCCAATCCCTTTGCTGCCATCTACTTGACAAGCCCAATAAGTAACCCATATACAGAGGCCACGAGGCTGTTAGCTTCTCCTTCAGTGTGTTTTGAGATGGAGGTCCTCTGTGGATCCAGGCTGACCTGGAACTTGGGATTGTCTCCCCTTAGCCCCCAAGTGCTTGGATCCCAAGTGTACACCACGGTCTGTTTCTCAGTGTGGGCTCTGGAGCAATGTGCAACCGTCCCATCCGTGTGTGGCCAGCCCAAGGTCCCTCTCCCGATCCCAGTCACCTTCAGCTTCGGCAGCCGCTTGATGGTCTTTAGAGGTCGTAGCACCCGGAGGACTCGGAGAGACTTAATGGTGTTGATGTCTTTTCCTTTGCTGTTGCCACTGTTGGGGGATGTTAGGGTTGGGGAAGGGAAG